ATATATATATATATATATAAACAACTTGTGCTTAAAGTATTTTTCCCGTGGAGCTATGATATAATTGATAGTATCACCACTACATTTAATGTAATAGTATTATCAGTACGTTTAAAATGTGCGATTTTTTTTTATCAAGTCGCACCCACGACCAACCGCCACATGTTGAATGTAATACCACCTTCTCAAGGCATCTCATCTGTCACATCCACCCCAAAAAATAAGGCTTCATCAAAGCCTAACACCAAGCCTGAAAAGTGTTTCCCCGACGTCGCATTTATTTGCTGAGTTGTTCGACTCGCTGAAGTGCCATTTGTGCCTTCGATAAGACCACCATTCTCCCGGAGCCGAGGACAAGAGTGGTCGCCTCTGAGTTCAGCTCCGCACCTGCGCGTCTCCAAGATGTCCCGATTGAAACCGTCAAATATCGGTGTGCATCATGAGATCTCATCGCACTGTTCGGATTGACGCTTTGGAGTGAAGGTGAGATCAATGAGGACTTTTTGTCTCAATGCATGCGTGGTTAATGTGTGCGTCTCGCCCAAACTTTTGATATGCGTTAGGTGTTCTGGATGGGCTTGCCGGCTTTCTTGAAGGATCATTTGAATGTAACTTATTTGATACGTGAATCTAATACGACTGTTATGGCCTACGGCACTGCTATGTTTTTTCTAAATGGATGGTATAATTCTCTTTCGCCTGCAGTAGCCAACGTAAAATCTACCATGCGCACTTGTCTCTTTTTGTTTGTGGCTTTGGCTGTGGACCTTGCTAGTGTAAAACTCTTGTAAGATGCTAAATTACTGTTCCTTTACTTTAGACACTCATATTGTTATATATTGCACTCATAAAACTTTGTGTAGGATGTCACGCACTGGCAATATTCTAGTTTATTGGGTCTTCTTAAAAGGCTTTCTGACAGCAACTACATAAATGAACAGAGCTTGAACTCATCGCCTCTTATATGAAATGAGTGATTATCTCTAGCTGTTTATTTATATGTGTATAGCCTCAACTGCTCACTAACGGGCCAGTTGAGTTGCAACAGTAGTTTATGAAGTATTCACACTGTAAGATGGTATTTTCATAAATATTTTGCAGTGCATATTTTAAATTCCATTAATTAATTGCATAATGACAGTGAGCATGAACTTAGCTTTTGGCGGAAATTAAGCTGTTGCTTGCAAAAAAAGAAATGAATACAAATAAATACAAATAAAATAATAATAACAATTTAACAAAAAAGGCACTTTGGCTTTTTACACCAGTTTATATGTTGGAACATCACTGTGTTTTTGCATTGCATAATTTAATTTAGCCTCTCCAAACAATGATGACTTTGCTTTTTTGTTTCTAACAGTTAATTAATTAATTTGACTTATTTTTGGACTTTATTTCTACATTGTAGACATTACGCTGGTCGCTTATATAGCTCAAATCCACAACAATTCTTAATTATTACATTTATTTCTGATCTGTGTGACTTTAAGCAAATGATTTGATTTATTCCTTGTTTTTTGTTTTACTTTAAAACATGAAACTTTCTCTTTATAAAGTAAATATAATAGTCTAAGTAAATTTATTTAATATTATTTCTAATATTATTAGTTATATTAATACCAGTAATTTTAGTTGGTTAATATAATTAATTGTATTAAGAAAATATATTATGTGAAATTATACAGCAGTTTTTTTTATTATTATTAAAAAAGCAACTACAATTTATGTATATCACCATAAATAGAATCCCCAACATAATAAGTCTTAAGTAAATGCTACCTTTAGGACCCTGTGGATAGCATATCCTAGTATTTACAGTGAAGAGATCCTCACATCATAGAGAAATATATAACTATCTGTAACCCATCTCCCTCGCCATTTGTTAGAATACAAAAGGGGGACTGTTTTCTGTCCCGTTTGTATCTTTGCTGAAGTCCCATCAGAGTTTGAACTGCTAGAAGCGAGAGAGAGGGGCAGAGGATGTGCAGAAAACAGTGAGGGCTTAGTGGATGTGTAAAAGCAGAGAGTGTGTGTGGAGTGTCCAAGTGCGTAATCTTCCCCAGCCATCATTTCCCGCCGAACACTCGCGGTATAGACGCGTGAGGGAATGCGCGTGAGGATATTATCGGCGCGCGGGGGTCTAATTGGTGCGATTCTTGTCTCTCTCACGTCTAAAACGTCGAGGAAATAGTGAAAATATCGCAAAAGAACAGTTTGTCGTTATCCCCGCAAACAAGACGGGAGTCTCTTGTTTTTTTGGATAGAGGGCGGTTGAAAAAAAGCCGCAAGGAAGAACGGACCCTTGGCTATTTAAAGTTTAGTGAGGACGGTTACTGGCTCTGAGGTGATTGTTATGAAACTCACAAAAGAAAAAACGATGGAGAAGGAGAAATTGTGGATTTTATGAGTTTGCACTGTTTGGGACACACGCAGAGGTGAGTTTATGCTCATTTTTGGTGGAACCGAAAACATTTCATTTGAAGTTTACCTCAAGAAATGTCCGCTTCGATAACGTCTCGCGCTAGAGAGATGTGGCACGCGACTTAAGAAAAGATTGACGTGCCGCGAGACACCTTTAAGTCGCTGTGTTTAGTCAGCCCGTTTAGTTCGGGTGGAGGTGTGGGGGGATTCCGTTTTTTCCCATAACTCATCACATTAAGAGTAGCAAGCCGTCTTTAAGAGGATCCTCTATGGTCATTCATGAACTTGAGCACACAGCCCTCCGCGGAACCCTTCACATCGAGAGTGGATCTCATTAACGTGAGTATTCCGTTTCCTTTTAAAGTTTAGGTTGGTTTTGTGTGAATATGGGCGCCATACGTTACTTAATCATTTTACTTATGGGATCTAGTAATATGATTTCGTTGCAGCTTTAACTTTCCTCAGGCTTCATTCAGAATAGTTTGTGGTATATCGCCTAGTACTGAGCCTCTTTAATAGGCTGCTGATACTTAGAAGTTCGACTGTAACATGGAAAACGTATTTGTGATATGCAAGTAGAAAATGTATGCGAACCGAATATGATTTCAGCACCTTGGAGAGTGGACTTTGCTATGAAAGAATGCGAATGGAAGCGCCCCCTTACGGCCATAATACGTTTAATTGTCTTTCTACGACCAGGTTGCTTTCACGCACTGTTAACTCTTGTCTATGCTCAAATTTGGTTTAATCCGTCAAAGTAAAACATTTTCTTGAATATAAATCGTGAACAAACTCTTTAAGAATGAATCTACACAGTACGGTTTAAATAGTGTTTAGCAAATGTTGCTGGAGTTCGAAATAATGTCCAGTTTTGGTTTATTTTGAATGCAAGTTTACTTTAAAAATAAAAGGGAATTAATAATTATAGACTCTTCTTTTTTATATACATATTTCCTTGTTTCCTCATAACGTTTCTCCGAGTGCGTGTATGTGTGTACAGTTCAGGCTGCTTGTGTGGGATTGATAAACAGATTTGAGCTGAACAAGCTGACATGAAATACTTAAGTGGTGTGTGTGTATATATATATATATATATATATATATATATATATATATATGTATTCTGCATGCATACAGCTTTTATACACTCTCTGGCGGGAGGAGCAAACGACAGACACAGTGGGTGTGGGGATCTGGTGTCCTCGTCGTGCTGCGGGATACGTGAAGGTGGGGCAGTGTTCGGGAAGGAAGGGTCCAGGTAAGGGGCGGAGTCCGGCGGCCGCACGCGTGCCCCTCTCCGGTCCGGGACGCGAGGGGCGGCGGCTTCTGTCAGCGTCTTCATCCTTTTCTCTGCCCACGGCGCTTGAAGGGACTAGACGGTCCGGCGGTCGTGTAACGGATTCGGTTCCCGTCCGGAAGCTCGCATCTTCGGCGGTACGGAGATCCCTCAACGAGCCCTTCCTGGACCCACGAGGACACCAGCGTGCATGCACGGGGAAAACACCGGTCTCCTAAAGAGAGGCGCACTCGGCCTTTAACAGCGGCGGTGATGAGGCTCCATTCGGTTCAGGTGTGCCTCATCACACGCCGCCAGCCCTGGCTATTTCAGCGCCCCTCCTCTCTCACGCACCCACTCCTGTCAGGAGCCTGGCGAAGGGCGGCGATTAAGGGACGGGGTGATGCTGATAATTAGGGGGGAGGCAGCCGACTCGTCACAATTCATAACCTAAAATGTTCTTGTTCATAAAAATGTCCACAGATGAAAGAAAGAGGCTAGAATAGATTCTGACATAAAATATTAGATTTTTAGAATAATCAGTGCAATTGTCATTACAGTCTACTTTTTTTAGTCAACCTTCAAGAGAAAAGGCATAGGGTAGAGGTTTTGTTTGAGTCATGTTTTCTCACAAAATATTCATATGATGAGTGGTGGAATTGTAAGTATCAATCATTATCAGAAGTTTATCATGAAAGTAGCCAGAAAGAGAAAAATAATAGCATGCATTTGAGCTGCAAGCTTTCTGTTCAGTGCAAAATTATTCTCAACATCCTAAGATAATGATTTCAGGCTTCGTTCTCCAGTGGGATATTTTGAGCAGTCTGACATATCGTGACAAAAACTGAATGCCACATCAGCCTTTTAGGAAAAGTATACTTAATAATGCATAACATGTTCCGATGTCACAGCAAAGTGTGTGCTTGGCAGTGGAGGGTGATGTCTTGAGCGGAGGGGGATTGTAGGGGAGGAGGTCTGTAACAACACAAGCCGTATAGGGGCTTTTGTGAGTGGAGATTGAGAAACAAACCCCTGAAGCTAAGCTACACCACAAATGGCATTGCTAGAGTCGAGAGTCTCCCTGTCAAGCGGCCTGTGCCTTGACACATGAACAGAAAGTGACAGAACATGCCAAGGATGAGATGAGAGAAAGAAAGGGAGAATGAAGAGCAAGCGAGGGAGAAGTCAAGACTGGCTTAGCAGCTGGTCTAAGGGAGAGCCCTTTCTTGAGAGGCCAGGGACCGGTCTGCTGCAGACAATCAGATTGCGTTATGGGATAGGATGTCTGCCAGGTTCAGTAGCAGTCATGGAGTGTAAACAAACCTGTGCTTTGATTTTGCCTTCTACTGACAGGCTAAGTCACATGCAGCCGTCATCAAGCCTTCTGCTTGCAATTGCCACACATGATGATGAAAGAAAGATATTGCACCTGAATATTAGAAGAGGTGACACAGAGGAGTGGATGGTTGTGCTGTGGATAAGTCTGGATTAGAGCAGAGATCATCAGACTCTGGGTGTATGTGTTGGGCTGTCATGTTTAGGGAAAACGTACTCACTCCCTGCTGCACTCAATGTTTATTTATGAGACCTGTCATATTGGCAGGCTGTTTATGGTAGAATCACTGATCCTGTGCAGGTGGGCGCTGAAATCCCTAGAGAGCAGATCTCATCGAGCGCTGCACCTCCCTCTTTATCACAAGCTGAGACATGAATGACAGAGAAAGAAATGTGGTGACAGGAAAAAGGATTTTGGGATAGAAGATGGAGGGTGGTTTATAAAATTTGATATGTAATCAAATTAAAAGTAGACATGGATCTGTTCTGGAAAGTCTAGTTTAGCAGAACTGATGTTTATGAGCACCTATGAGGTTTTAGACATGAAGGTATACTTCTGTAGCTCAGAGAACAAGATCGAAGTGGACATCAAGAAAGGGAAGGATGTGCTTCACAGCATAAAATGGATGAGGAAATCTGAGCCACTAGTCCTGTAGGTCATATGAAATCTGTGAACGATTTATCGGTTTAAATAAAATATTAACATGTGGCTTACTGGTAAAGCTCTCATTCTTAAATACATATTCACCTGCATGAAAAGGGATGCATATTTGTCATGTGGTTTTTGGTTTGTTGACTGAGAGGATGCATTGTCCACCTGCGGTTGCCAAGCAAATTGATTTCTATTTAGGTGATAGAGGGATTCGATTTTGCTATTTTTTTTAAAGGAAAAAAAAAGTATTGTTAAAAAGTTTGGCTAAAAGATTTTAGATTGTTTGTTGCTTTTACAGTTAAAGCAAGAAATAAAAAAATCCAGACATTAATTTTATATTACAGCAACAAGATAAGAGATTGCATATTTTTAAAGTAAATAGTAAAAAAATTGTCTGAAAGTGACGGTGGAATGTGACTAGATAGATAGATAGATAGATAGATAGACTCGTAAAAATTACCATGTAACTATGGTTGTTGTTTTCCCCCATACTAAACCAGGCACCCAGCAGATGACGCATATGACTTCCCTGTCATTGTGGGATTAAACGATGAGATTGTTTGTGAATCCCCTCATCAGGGTCCTGTGTTAAACAAAATAGATGTTAAATGAGGTGACCCGCCTCAAATCACCCTGCTCTGTGTCATAATGCATTCTGCACTCTGCACCAGCCACATCACCGTAGGCAGCGCAGAATAATTAAGAGGACTCATATATGGATCATCGAAAGTGATAACAAGTGGGGTCGCGTGATCTTTAATGTGCCCTAGAAACTTATCCTCCCTGTATTTCTAATGGCTCATTATATTGTCCTCTTTTCCTCTCTCCTCCCTTGTCTTTCTCTCTCCCTTCCCTTCCTCAGTGTCTCAGATGAATTTTGTGCCCATCGAGAGCTGCATGCCAAAAGTTTGCCAATTTTTAAATTTTTTGTCCCCCATCCTCAACATTACAGCTGTTAAGAGGTTTGTCCCACCTACTCTTTCCCTCTCTCTTGCTGTCTCCTTCTTTCCCGCCCTGTCTCCTCACTCTGTCCTTGGTAAATCTGGAGGATCTAATCACACCCTCCATCCATAGTCTTGGATAACGGTCGTTGTGATTGATGTGATGAGTTTTAATAGGACATGTCCATGCTTTAAGATTCATAATAAACGGACCTTTACCAATTATACATGTATTAATTTGGATTAATCCATTGGTTAAATGTCTAAGTTAAGCAGTGAAATAAATAGACTGAATTATGTTCTTTCATTTAGTGTTTTTGTTTCTTTCTTTTTTTCTCCCTAAAGCATATTTTTGTTCTGGTTTTCATTACAGCTAATGTGACTAATCTGTGCTTTTCAAAGTTTAAGTACATCTCTGATCCTAAAATATTTGCCTTATAATTAACTCTTTCATCCACTGGCACCAAACACCCTTTTATTTAGGCAGCTTTGGTCAACAGTCAGAATGTGATTTCATGCTCCATGTTTTTCTAATTGGAGATTATGCTCCATTATGACCCTACTCAACTCCCTGTTCTGTGATTTTTACAGTGACAATGATTGTTCAAATGATCCCTTCTGCACTAGAATGTGCATGAGCTTTGCTCTTGTGAGAAAAGAGCTCCCGTCTGAGGGTGGTCCACTGCGAGACTGCGCTGTGATCTGACTTACCGCTCCACCTTGTTTGGGGCTCACAAGGTTAATTGATCACTGTGGGGCTGGTGATGGGATGAGAGTGGGGTCAGCATCTGTATTGACTGGACAGACTGATTAACAAGCACTAAATCGCTCCTGGTCACCACTTTGAGAACGTTTGGTAGGTCATCGTCAATTATCCCCCTGCCAGCCTCCGTCAGGGGGAACTGGCAACCTTTGCTCTCACTGTATTTTGTAGCTGTGCTGTGCAGAAACTGTGTTTTTGCAAAACGCACGTGGATGACTCTAACTGCTCTGTAACGATTGCTCTTAGCAGACAGCCAAAGGGTTACAAACTAATTGAATCTAAAAAAAATTTCATATGGTAGAAATGGTTACACATTGTGTGATGGGTATAATGATTGTCCGAAAAAAAATCAATCTTCTGATGTTGACAGTGAGCACATTTACGGACAACGAAACTCTGATAACTATCAGAAATTGGCTCATTATGAATTTTTTTTTTAAGCGATCAGATGCAAATAAATAAATTAAGTTTTTCATGGAAGACCATTCAAAAGTAACCTTATATTCTGACAAAATACCCTTTTTTGCTATATCGCCAACATTTCCCCAGTTTTGTTTTGGAGGACAGAGCCATTGGAATGAAGGGGAATGCTAACAAATTTCAGTTTTTTTCAGTAAAGACTTCATTGTTAGAAATCTGATGTAAATAGACATATACATTGAATAACCTAACAGTTTTTATATGCAAAGCAACATGTGAATAGCAAGCATAAATATCTAGGTGTTGATCTGGTTTTCCATGTTAAAAGAGCACCACTTAAGACATGTAGATTTCTTTAAACATTATCAGAGTAATCAGTGTACGCCTTGCAATGTAGGCTACTGTAGAATTAGAATCAAATACAGTAAAATAAAAAAAGTGAATGAGCCTTTGACTTTTGATTTTTTTTTTAAACATTCAGTTGTTCAGATCTCACAAGACCTTAGACATGGATCCTTTTCTGGCTTCTCCTTCTTCTATGTAGTATTTATTTTGTATTTTGTTGTATTTCAGTGCATCATTTTACTGTTCTAAAGCACAACAGATAAAAGCAGAACTTTGTTTAAGTTTAGTTTTTTGTGCAAATTCCATTACTTGTTGCAGCTTTGTATTTTCAGACCTACCATTCAAAGACCCCACACATGCCTCAGAGAATGAGTCACTGGATGATTCTGGATGAACTCAGATGAAATGTCTGTTCATTACAGTAGGAATGAAGGCATTGCGGGACCGTACGAATCCATAAATAATTTAATCTTTATCTAAAAAGCATTCTTCATCTCCACTAAAATATATAAATATATAAAAATCTACTATTCCAAGGTTAGAAAGGTATTACTCACTTTCTGAAATAAAAATTATTGGTTCAACCTAATAGGGCTGTTTTCAAATTCAGATCAACTCTGCTTCAACTGTGTGTGTGTGTAAACAATCAGTCAAGCATCAGTGGTGATGGTTTCAATGTGCAATGCATACTGTGAAATATTTAGATTGTGAGCTAGTTTTCATAAAAACATTTAATGTTGTGCGTTTCACATTATTATATCCTTACAGAAGCAGTTTACAGGCCTCCTTTTAGGGTCACCGAAGTGACTTCAGCTTGCTGCTGAGCAGCAGATAACGTGTTTCTATAGTAACTTTTGTGAGAGTAACCTCGTGATTTTGCCTCCTATTCACAATTTCATAAATTCCTATAAAAAAGGCATCCAATCAATCATCAGCTTTGCACTTATTCTCTGAATTCTGACCTGAACCCTCTACATCCTGTAATAAAAAACATCATTTAGTGATACACGTAGCTGTCTGTCTATATTCAGTATCAAAAGAGTGTTTTGAGTGTAGTTACAGTGGAAGAGAACGGGTCTGCAGGGGATTATGGGTAATGCCACGAGTGAATGCATGAAAGCTCTCCAGATCACGTTTTCTTTGATGGCCTTTTAGATATCTGATGTTTCTCACGATGCACAGCAGACACCTGACTGGCACCACCTCATAGGAGTCGGAGCGCTAATTTCCCCTTGCTGTCAAACTCTATCCCCTAACTGATATTCACCATCACCTTTCTCATTTTTCTGTGCAGAGTGCAGATGCCAAGCTGCAGTAGAGGATGATTGACAGAAGGCAAAGCTGAGACGGCTGTCAGTCAACATCCAGCCAGAGAGTCGATTCATCAGAGTGTCAGAATCCTTGCTCTCTCTCCAGCCCGACCGATCACTTTGTCTTCTCTGCTTCCACTTCTCTTATCTCTGCTGGCATCCTGAACCTTCCCCTTCCCAGCAGACACAATAAAGACCAGAGGTGGAGACAGAAGCATCGGTCTTGACGTCCTTACAGTGACCAAAGGGAAGCTGGTATGCTGCTGCACCTCTTCTGTCCCACGTTCAACAAAAGGATTATTTTGTGAACCAGACCCAGATCTTCCTCACCATTCCCTCTTTCTCTATCTCTCCTTCTCTCGTGCATCTTTGAGAGGAAGGGTGCAGACGGATACTTTACATCACAGTGAATAGTCTATTGGAGGGGCGGCCCGAATAAAGGAAGCAGCCATGCGTTTCCCGCTGCTCTTGACACTGCAGGCATCATGGCTGACAGTTTGTCAGGCCACGCAGCACTATCCCACAACCTGGGGACACTACGACTTGTGCAAGTCAGAAGGCTACACGGACGAAGGCCCAATCTGGTATTACATGGCCTGTCAGCCGGAAGCCGCAGACATGACCAAGTACCTAAAAGTGTTTCTTGACCCACCCAACATCACCTGTGGAGACCCACCAGAGACCTACTGCACCCTGGTGAGTGAATGAATCATATGATTGCACCTACAGTGTATTTACTACTTGTTGTGGCTTCATCTCATTTTATATCATTTATTAATGTGCTTCACATTTGATATGCAAATATATTCATGGTGCCACATACAGACTATCACATACAGTTAAACAGTTTTGAAGTTGTGGGATTGATCTGCATATTCCACAACCAGTAGGAACAGAAATGCTCACAAATACTTGACAAAGTAGATTTCATTAATTTAGGCCATTATAACTGCTAATAAAGACTCAAGAGTAGTGCAGATGAAACCTCAGTTAAAGTCACATTTGTGTCAGTGTAAATGGTGTCCACTTCCTGTGCCGGGTCATCGACTGTTTCAATTTATATGGTTAATTATCTTGTTTCATCTTTGGTGGAAGCCTTCATTAGGCTTTTGTGGAGAAAATGCTGTCTGTCGTTAGCATTGAAAATGAGAACTAGAAAAGAGTTAGAGATAGAAGAAGAGAGAGAGAGATTGATGAAAGAGGCACTTAAAAAGTCTGTCTCTTTTTGAGGAGGTGAGCTGCATTTCTTTTATGGGCAAGTCTTAAGTGTTTAATTAGAAAAATGTAATTTGGATTTGTAATTTGTAAAGCACGGTTCTTTGAAACTCACACCTGGCCTGCACCATTAGAAATTAGTTAATGGTAATCAGTGTGCTAGTGTGTGTTTGTGTGTGTGTTTTCGAAGACTCAATGCCTAACATCTGAAGTTTAACTACAGGTTCAGAGAGTGAGTGAGAGGCTGTTTACAGTATTTAAGAGGTGAAAATAACGAGTGGAGTGGGACAGTCCAATGAGAGTCCGCTGAGTGACAGAGGACCTAATATCTGGTGTGCAGGGAGTAAAAAGTGAATTATTCAGTATGTTTTGTCGCTAATGTGTTTTATTCATATTATACATTATTCAGAGCCATATCTGGGAGGCACTTTTGAAAATGCTGACTCTCTCTGATAGATTCTCAAGGTTAGAGCATGGGCTGTTATCCATTTTGGAGGGTCACTGTCACAATATAGCTCTGCTCTCTGGTTTCCCAAGGGCCCATAGTAAAAAAAAATTGACACATAATTTTACCCCAGCACACCAGTCAGTTAGTATTGCAATAACAGATGTCTCACAAACAGCATGCACTGTGGTCATGCCTGCCTTCATTCCTGGCCCCAGTATTACTTATACTTATAAAATGTCTGTGTCGCTGGTCGAGTAGCTGATAAAAGTATAAACTATTGGAAGTCAAAGTCAGTTTTGATCAGGTGGACCTCGAATTCTCAGATCGAGTTCTTTTAAAACCTGAGCTAGAAATAAACCTGAATGAATTAATAATGATTAATTCCCTTACAAATAAGTAAATTATTACACTGTTATAATAGAAATATAGTTCCTAGTTGCAACAAACCTGATTTAACAGTTGAGTAGACCAAGGCCAAGTATAAAATATTTATTGTAAAACATTTCTGGTATTGCTAGTTGATCAGGCCCCCTTGTTGTTAAGCAACATAAATTGCAATTGTCCAGCCTTGAAATCCACTCGATTTTCTGCCAGTGCATCGAGTCCGATCAATTTCTGTGCTGTTAGCCATAAATTGGCAGCAGACATTACATAGATATACTGATTATGCCAATAACAGTTTTTATGATGTCTGTAATCATTCTTTTATTTCCGGCTATTGCCATTAGTGTTCTTTATACAAGAGCTCAATCCTCCGTAATTGATTTCTACTCAGGCTGGCAATGGGCTTCTCTCTCCCTCCCTCTCTGAGGCTGCTGGGCTGTTTCCTCTGATTAGACCTGTAACAGCCATCGCAGGCAGACAGCGAACCCGCTCCAGGCTGGAGAAAACCAAGCACTGGAGAGACCAATGCTTTACCCTGCAATCTGAAGTGCAGGAAGCTGGACAGATCCATTTGTGAAAAGCTTTTATACTGCCATGGGTGATGATTCTCTATGGCATGATTCTCTATGGCAAAAACTTGACCCTCGTGCCCAACACAACATAATAATACCTGCTCAGACACTCTTTAAGTGGAATCTATGCTGTAGACAGTGCTGTTTGTCTCTGAATGTTTGTGTACTTTTGTTGTCAGAAATTGTGGAATTAATGCCAAAGACATTTAGACTTGGATAACATGTCATTGCAAGTCAGTTGAGGACGTATACTTTATCACACTTTGTGCACACTCACTAGTGGGGTGGTAGTCGGCCCTGCTTCTCTATTTACACCAAAACATCTCAAACTTGCTCACAATCTGTATGTCTTATTCTCTGTATCTAAACTTTTAAAGGAAATGTCTCTAACATTTTATAATTAATGCTCACCACCTCTAGCTTTTGGCCCTTTGAGCGTATCCAAAAAGTTGTCCTTGTATTTAACCTCTTGAAATTCTCTCGTGTTAGACCTCTGCTCAGGTCTTTACACTGTCTGCCAGTAATTGCTAGAATAAATTTAAGACCTGCCTAAAATGCTGCTTTGGTCTGTGCCACCACTATCTTTAGACTTTAATCAAACGGCTCCAACCTGGTCACTGCTATCAGCCATTTCTGTCACCTTGCTTCCCAATTTCTCCATGTTCACACTTTTTTTCCCCACACTTGCCTCTCGATATTGGATGTGAACTCTCTAACTATCAGTACAGCCAGTTTCAGTAAAAAAAAGAAGACCTCATGCACCACGATAAAGGACCATTAAAACTAATTTGGCAATGGTTTTCATATTTACAGTTAGATATAATTAAAAAAACTTGTTCATCAGTCATGTGGCTTGACACAATTCAGCGAGACGCTCCTCACTAATGCAACAGCCTCAGAAGACCTCTCCTTTCATCATGTGATATTATACATCCTAGAAAGAAGAACTGAATGGCATAGCTGTTTTTAATAAGGATAATGAAACAATTACACAGTTAAAGAAAGAAAACTAGATTGTGGTTAAAAAATCATAATGGCTTTCAGCTGAAGACTGTCCCATTGCAGCATTACTCAAGCTTTCATTATTCTATAAAGTGACTCCGCTTTATTTATGTTTTGATATATAATTCTGACCTTTTCCTGCATATTTCTGAGTGATATTGCAGAGCTCAGGGAGTGATGGAAGACATTTTGGTTCATCAGCCTTCTCTTAGAGCAGTGCCATTCCTCAAGTGGCTTACCATTGACATTTCAGTGAGATTTGAGTGTGCTGTCAGCTACAATATGCCTCCACTCATATTTAAATGTGTGTCTCAATGAAAGCCAAGGGGAAAAGGCTTCTGCCAATACAGTGTAGTCTCAGACAAATGGTGACATTCAACTTTAATCAAATAGTTTATTCATGCCGAATTCATGCTGAGAGATTGCACAAAACCAGTCACAAAGCAGCTTTTCAAAAGTGCTGACTTTCATGAATGGACTGAGGCAAATATTTGCATTTTAACACTATTGAAAAATTAATTACTTTTCAATAGAGCTGTTAAACATCTGAGTAGTTGTGCCACATGATTGATATATTTATTTGTTTTCTTTTTAGTCCAGTTGTAGAGCTGATAGAAATCAAAGGCTGCTGTAAGGGCTGACCAAAGTGGCTGCTTGGTATCAGAGCCTAACACTCAAAAAGTGAACAAATCAGATAGAATTATCAATCTTAATCAGGTGTTAGAACAACCCTCTAGAATAAAAATGTAAAGCCTGGTTCAGACTACACAATTTTTTTTGTCAGTTACGTCAATCATTGTGTCAGATTATGCGATTTTGTCTCCTAAAATCTTGTCGTGTCGTGAACAAGAACCATGTCAGACTACACATTGCTGCCCGACCATTCACCGCTTGCTGTCTTTAACGGCATGCGTGCTGTCCTCGATACGGTGGGAATAGACAGAACGTGCCATGAGTGTAAACATACAATGGCTAGCAAACAGCTTTTTTTCCCTGTTTTGCCCTGTTTTATCATCAGAAAACAGAACACTCTGTCACGGTAGTCCCTCAAGGAAACATCATAAATGCAGGAGTATTATTGCCGTAGCTCCACGAACATTTCCTCCATTGTAAAATTCCACCTAGCAGGACCGATACCATTGTCTCTCTTTTGTTTTGGCATGTTTGAAAGCATGTACACAGGCAGATGTGAGGGAACTAGTCGTGGACGATGGAAAAAATATTAAACATCCTAGTCTTTCTGTGGTGAAGTCGTGAAGCATCGCAGACGTGGCATCGGTTGTCATGACACACTACACGAGATGAAGCGATTGAATCTTGCCTCCCAACGCCCATTGTCATTTACGAATCCCCACGACACCCTACATCAAGCAGATCGTGCCAAAATCGGGCTAAAATCGTGTAGTCTGAACCGGGCATAAGACATAGAGCATGTATGACATCAAAGAATGCTTTGACGGTTCAGCTCTTTGAAAGTCTAGCAGAAGCATATTTAATTTACATTTACATTCTTCATCATGTTCTTGATTTTAGACTTTTGTATCACTACTTATGTATAGCACAAGTAGTCGACCGATATGGGTTTTTTGACAGCCGATGCCGATATCTTGGAAAGCAGGATGACCGATATAAAGCCGATACAATTTTATTTATTTTAATTAATATTTTAAGAAATTCGAAATCATTTGAAAATGGATTAAAAATAATTGTGTAAAATAAACATACTTATACTTTAGAAGACAAAGCATTTTTCACAAATAAATATTTAATAAAAATCTAATTGAAAAGGAAGTAAACACTGTAACCAACAGGGTACTCAGTATTTTGCGAAGTTTGTGTGCATTGGGAATCATATATATATTTTTTATACAAATAAAGCCAAGGTAACACTCATTTTACATATAGAACGCAATGAAAATGACATAAATATATGATGGTGGGCAAATGCATAAAGTGTAGCGTAATAGGAAATCACGAGTTTAAAGTTTGTCGATCACGCGTCTCCAGTGAAGCTGAACTCTCCTCCTGTCAGCATTCAATTCATATGGACCGACCATCACGCAGAGCACACGAGA